TTTTCAAAGAAGTCGTTCAAGGGAAGAACGAGTTTCATGTCTGATCATTTTTTTTTAAACAAGATCGAAACTCGTTCAAGGCATGAACGAGTTTAGCCTGTCAGAGCGTCTCAGTCGGCTTCTTCTTTTCCTCTTTCATTTCAGCAAAATTTACAAACAAAGACCCATACCATCAACACATTCTTCCTTTTTCTCTAGACTTCGGAGAGAATTGCAATTAATGACCCAACTCTCCCCAACCACCGCTTTCGTTTTTTTCCTTTGCCCTTCAGTCTATATTTCCAAAAAATATGAATCAATTTTACTTTACATCCTAATAATTAAATTTTAAAAAATATATAAAATAAATTTATTGAATATAAATTATTTATCAATATGATATAATATATGCAAAATTTACACCTATTTAATATAGTCATTGGACAGATTGAAGGTCAAAGATTATGAGGGAATGAGTGGTGTTAAAATTTATTAAAATTAAACACAAATAATTATGTACAACCGCCTTGTAGCATTCTTGTATATAAAAATTTTTTTAACAGAAATTATGTACATTTATGGAACAATTTATTGAAAAAAAACATAACATGCAAGTGTTTGGTTTAAAATTTGCAAGTTTAAATTTAACCAAACATAAGTTTATTGAAATACTATTATAATTTATATTTGAATTCTTTTTAAAAAAGTCAGTTTAATTTAGCATATTGCAACCTGTTTAGATATATGATAAATCAAAATATATCACTTTTAGATGTGTAATTATTAAATAGGAGTATAAATTTTAACAATATTCATAATCTAACTTTGAATTTGTCCATCAGCTAAAAATTAAACGTGTTTGAATTATTAATATAAATAAATGGTCATTAAATCATGACAAGGCTGTCTTGATGCATGCGGCATCTAAGTATATATTGTAAATATTTGTTTACAGGATATCATTTTAGCCGGTATCAATTTCTAAGTTTTTTCTAATATTTGTAAATGTACATAATTTCTGTTAAAAAAAATTTTTATATACAAGAATGCTACAAGGCGGTTATACATAATTATTTGTGTTTAATTTTAATAAATTTTAACACCACTCATTCCCTCATAATCTTTGACCTTCAATCTGTACAATGACTATATTAAACAGGTGTAAATTTTACATATATTATATCATATTGATAAATAATTTATATTCAATAAATTTATTTTATATATTTTTTAAAATTTAATTATTAGGATGTAAAGTACAATTGATTCATATTTTTTGAAAATATAGACTGAAGAGCAAAGGAAAAAAAACGAAAGCGGTGGTTGGGGAGGAGTTGGGTCATTAATTGCAATTGTCTCCGAAGTCTAAAGAAAAAGGAAGAATGTGTTGATGGTATGGGTCTTTGTTTGTAAATTTTGCTGAAATGAAAGAGGAAAAGAAGAAGCCGACTGAGACGCTCTGACAGGCTAAACTCGTTCATGCCTTGAACGAGTTTCGATCTTGTTAAAAAAAAAATGATCAGACATGAAACTCGTTCTTCCCTTGAACGACTTCTTTGAAAATTTGAACTCGTTCTTGTAATGAACGAGTTTGAGTGTAGCATTTAGGGAAATACTTTTCATAGCGTAGCATCATGGTAATTTATTTTACTGTGTGTAGCATTTTGATAAAAATCCCGAGATTGGGCGAAGTTAAAGCAAGGTTTTATGGGCTGCTGATGAAATAATGGGCCAACAAAAAAGGTCAACCGTAGCTGATTTTCTTCTCATGTGAGAACGTAGAGGTGTTTCACTGACCCAATGTCTGCATTTACCAGGTGGCTCCAACTTTTTCCTTCACCGGCTTTGTCTTTGTATGGTAATGTCAGCAGAGTGAATTTTCCAATGTTAAATATAATTCTAAACTATTTATAACTCATCCACTATATGACTTTTTTTTTTATAAGGAAAAAATTCATAGAATACGCACTTTATGCTAAAAGTACTGATAGTAGAATACGGCCACCACTAATTTCAATATTTCGATATATATTCGGATGTATATTGATAATCTATATGCTTGCTTTCCCCTGCTTTCTTTTATGTGTGTGTGTATGTGTGTGTTGGGGGGGGGGGGGCTAGATTCCACTCATCATCATAAACGTTAAACATGTTGAACCCAAAAAAAAACCGGGGGGGGGGGGAATATCATGAAAATTACAAACCATCAACATAGAATATGCCGGGTCTTCAAGAGTATGTCTTCATTTATTTACGGATAATCTTTTTTAATACAATTACAAATAAAATAATAATGACCTCCCACATGCATTTGAAGCTTGAACTTCTCTTTCATTATTTTAAATTATATTTTACTTCATTTATGAGCCAACGTATGATTTTTTTTTTTTAAAAAAAACATTGGCTATGTTTGGATTGCAATTTACAACGGTAAAAGTCTATAGAAAAGCGTGAAACAGTAGTTTGTGACTTACTTAGAACCAAATGTTTGTTTGGATGGGGCTAAAAGCCCAACCAACTTTTAGCCTTCAACTTCAGTTAAATTCAACGGAAGAAAATATGACTTTTTTATTTCAAATTGCAGTTTCACGTTTTCCTAAAAAATTTTATAATTGAACTCACTTTTCTATTTAATCATTCAAACAACTTTTAACTTTTCCAACTGAATTTTTATAAGCACCTATCCAAACATAAATCGCATTACACTAACTGATATTTACTCTTACTTCAGTTACAAAAATTAGTTAGACTAGAAGTTAGTTTTGGCCAATACCAATCCAAACACACTCATTATGATACTCTCTTAAGTTCGATAGTATTTTTTCCCAATAATCCAGATAATGATTATAATAAGATATTTTAATATGATTTTTATTCAGTCACAGACTTTTGCAATGCACACATGTTGGTTTATTCCTTGTGTACGTCAGAGTCTGCATGGTCCATATTTATGGTTCATGGTTATATTATAGATAAGATAAAGTATAATATCTTGAGGGAAAAAAAGGTCAAAATCAAGCGAAAACTTGGTGGCCACTGGTATGTTCAAAACTTAAAAAGTGAGTAGAAATGGAAAGGCGAATGAGGAAGCACTAATGTTGAATGAATGAGAAATAATATTGGAAGAGAGTACATATTCGGAAGGCACCATTAATAGAAAATCGGGAATCCTCACCAATCAACGGTAGGAGTCTCAAGTTTCAGGAATACTAGGGATGTCATGTCTCTCTACAACACACAGCAGCCACATTCTGTTGGTTTTAGAATATGTGGTGATGGAGAAAGCACTCATCAAGCCCCCTTATTTTTTTTATTCATTTAGTTCTCATCTTTCATCAAATCAACTTGTTGGGAATGGTGAGCCAAATGGAGAATGGGCAAGAAAACAAAATTTGACAATAGCATTGTCCAAGACCACACATCTTAACTCAAAATTTTATTAGTTTTTTTCATGTTATAGCTCAGTTTTATTCGACATGGAATCTCTTACATCAATTCAAGTCCACCCATACTTAAAAAAACCAGCGCAAACCAATTCTTTATCTATAATCAACATGTAGAGAATTTATAACACTTTTTTTTTAATATACCTTATTATTTAATGATTAAAATTTAATGTGTGGAGATAAAAATATTTCAATAAATAAGGGTATTACAGGTTAAAAGAAACAAACAATATAATAGATTAGACAGAACTGGATCATATATTTAGGATGAAATGAAAACTTTTAAATCACCCTTGTATTTTGGAAATGGAGAAATAATAAGGGGAAGAAGAAGAAGGAGAAAAAATGGGAAAAAAGAATAAAGAATAAAGACGCTTTTAGGACATGGAGCAATGGAGTCAGCGAAACTACATTTTCACGGCTTAAAATCATTTTCATTGATGTAACTCCGTCCACACATATGATCAAATGGATGCCTTTCATAGAGTAAAAGTTTTAACATTAAAAATTGATTACAATTTACAACAAAACTTTTCAAGTTATTCTCTTTAGTGCTTAACATAGGTTGGTTGTCTAAAATGAGCATAGGATCCTGGCCAAATCAGAAAAACTGGCTTTAGTTGTTGCTTCTTTTCTTGTACATCGTTGAAATAGGATACGTTATGGCTGTGACAACATGATAGGTAGCGCACTTAAAGGGAAAAAGTCCCTCTGAAGCAACCTCGCACGCACAAACCCGAGGTAAGTGGAAAACTACCTCAGCAAGCAAAGTCAGAAGCAAGCCAAACAGCAAGTCAGAATTCTTTTTCATTTTTATTTGGGTGGAATCTGGTTTTGTTACTGCGTGCGCTTGAATTTTGACAATTGGCAAGCACAGTCGTACCTGATTGCGAGGAAGATATAGGAACTGAGATGTCCGGCTGGCCTTGATGAATTAGTCTAAGGCTTGCGGGTACTTCTCAGAGGGAATCAAACTCGATTTCAGAAGCAATATCATTCTTTCCAGGAAACAGAAGCAATGTCATTCTATGTGTGCATCATTCATCATATCAACCAAATGTAAACAGCATTAAATGCATGTTATATTGATCTAAGGCAAAAAAAACAAGTGACAATGTCACAGCACAATTTTAGACCAAACTCCAGCTTTAATACTGAGTACAGAGCTGGTATGGTGATTGCATTTACAAGTAAAACGAAGGAAGTAGATAGTACCGCAAAAAGAATGAAAGCTAGGTAGGACAGAGTTAGCAGTAAAATTTTAGGAAGAGTTACCTAAACTAAATTTGATTCTCAAAAAGGCAGTGGATCTTTCGTAGTTGATACCAATCTTGTGCTGTGTCAGCTGGAGGTGCCAATTGAATCCGATGCTTTTCCCATTCTCCTCTCTCTGTATTTCTTTTTTCTTTCATGGACTAATTAATACGCTAATCTCAATTCCCTTTTTGTTTCAATCTATAAATAACACTTCATGGCCTCGCCTATCTCATAGCTCTTTTGCCCATATTAAGTCCCCTCTCATTATTTGCATTCGCTTCTTTTGTTTCTTTAAGAGTCATCACTACCATTTCCATTATGGCTAACCAAGCCCCTGGCCGGCCGTGGTTTCGCTTAGCCTCTTTACGCTCAGTGGTTCCTCCTCCTCCTCCTGCGCCTGCACAAGACCCTCGTCCTTCTTTGGTTCAGCCCACTAATAGGACCAACTCTTCGCCGCCGCCATCTGCTGCTCCGGCGGAGAGAGGATCTGTACCTTCGTCTCCAGCTCAGAAACTTCCTGTTCAGTCCTCCTCTTCATTGCCAAATTCCCCTCTTCAGAATGGATCAGTCTCAACTGTATCTTCAGTTTCATCTCCTTCTCCAGCCCAGAAAACATCTCCACCACTTTCTGCTTCTTCCCCAGCCAAGGGTGGAACCATTCCCTCCACGAAGCAGGTGGTTCAGAATGTAATGCAATCACCGAAGGCCAAACCCACCACGCCGCCGCCTTCTGCTTCTCCAAACCAGAAAGCAACCACGCCTCATTCCGCTTCTTCCCCAGCCAAGAGTGAGACCACGGCTCGAGGGTCCAGTCCCTCAACGAAGCAGGTGGTTCAGACTCTAATGCAGTCACCAAAGGCCAAACCCACCGCACCACCGCCTTCTCCTCTGACTCTTCCGCCTGCGCAGTTGAAAGCTAACTCTGAGGTTAAGCCTAAGATCCCAGAGGAAGCAGAGTCCAAGAATGTGATACTTCAGAACAGCATTGAAAAGCCTAAGCAGTGGGGAAATGGCAATTCAGCGGAAACCCGAAAGAACCATAATGAGAAACAGAACGGCAATCACAGAAAGTCCTGGGGTTCAGAGGATTCCCCGATGAAAGTTATAACTATTGCTGGTGAAAACAGAGGAGCATACATGGAGTTGATCCAATCAAAGAAGAAACATGAATTCGGAGACACACCCAATTATCTTTACAAGAACGGGGTTTCGAAGTCCAAAAGCGAGAGCGGAGAATCGGCGAGCTCGAGCAGTGATGAAGGTAATGGGAAAAGGAAGGAGAATAGAAACAGCAGAAGAACAAAATCTTCGCATCCGACGTCCGCGTTCATGAATAGTAACGTACAGTGCGTTAACAATTCCCTCTTGTACAATGCCTCCTGCAGCCATCACGATGCAGGAGTTCGCCTTTCTCTCACGAGGAAGCCGTTCGAGAGCGGAGGATTCCATCTCAATGAGAACGTCAATGGCAGGCACGATTGATTCGACGATGGTCTTCTGGTTTGAATGAAGCATTTTCCAATTGGAAAATGAAGCTGGTTCTTTTGTTATGTATGTCTGGGGTGCGCCCGCACTGGCCATGCTTGATTTGTGCATTTCGGCCTTTGGGCTTTATGGTATGCATTGGAAAATAAAGGTTAGGAGCGGGGGCAAAATGGGAAAATCGCTCCTGATCGTCGCCTTTTGTTTTATTTTAATTTTTTGTTATTTTGGTTGTAACCAGTGAGTAATTCCGCGGAGACCACTCCTCCCAGTTGAAGAATAAAGATGAATTTGGAATCCAAACTTCGATTTTTCAGAGAAATCGACACATATGTTGGAGAATTATGTTTTGTCAGTTTTACTTTTCTAAGACGCAAATTAAAATTATCATTATCAATATAAAATATAAAAATTTTAACAAGTCATATACAATATAGAAATTTGAACCAATCAACAACTCTATCCCCACATTTTTTTAACCACAATTTTGAAACTTAATTCCTGTTTGATTTACTAGTGAAGCACGATGAATCAGTATCACCTTTAATTAATACTAGCATTATTTATAAAAATAATGATCATTTGAAATTATATTTATTCATCACCGATCTGTTTTTTCTCTCTAAAGCATAAGTATCCTCCTATTGGAGGCAGTTTTATTCAAGGCAGTATCGGAAACTAAATGTGGACATTTTTTTCCTGTAGGAATTTGAATTTTGGTTTATCACATTGTGAGGGACTAGTCCCTTCTACTAGATCCAACTTATTTATCACCAATCTTAACAGGCACTGTGTCAAAATAATTTAACCGAGCCCAATGGTGATTGGGTCTACTGGGCCTATAAAGGCAAGCTCCAAAACTATTTTTGGGTCGAAAACTAAACGTTGGTTTTAGACGTCACATGTCAACCTGTTTGGGCTGAGCTCTGTGGTTACCCATAGGCTGATGATGCTCCCCATCTCCCACCCAAATCCACTTTGGTCAACCCAAACAGTCAAACTACAATGTTTCCCCTTCACAGAGACGCACTTTAACAAATGCGGGATGTATTTTTCTCTGTAAGCTAATTTGTTATTCTTGGGCCAAATTTTGGGATAAAACTTAAATATGGGATTAATTAAAAGCTCTAATTGAGCCGAGGGCTTATCTGGTTTGGCAAAAGGAAATGTAAACTTTATACAGGAAGAAATATATATGTGCAAGCATTGAGATATAAGAAAGAGCATGGTTAATTCGGGTGAGAATTTGCAGAGAAAATTAGATAGTGAAGAAGAAGAAAACAAAGAAACATATGAAAGGTCGATCCAGTTGCCTAATACACAAATTTTGAGAACTATATCAATATGTACCCTTTGAAAGGAGCTTCAATGGGTCGTAGCCCCTGAGCATCCGGCTCTGTCTGGAACCTGACCTGCAATCTTAAACTGCATGCATAGATAATATGTAAGCAACTTGTAACAATCGTCTGAAACCCAAATCTAAACTTCTAATAATAACTTTGACCCCCAGTAGTAGAAGACAGAACAGTATTTTAGAGTGCTTTTTTACTTTATATCCCTCTATATATAAATGTTTAGATGCTTTGGTTGAAGGATTAAAAAAACACACAAGCACGTACACATGGTAAATGGTAATTGAGCACAGCGTTTTTCTTATTCATGCAAACTCATGCGTGTGGTCAGTTATAGTCATCATATTCTCTCTGTTTTTTGGTGCAAAAACGGGGTCACTGTCATGGTCATTTAGCTATCCTCAAATAATTGTGAATAAGAAAACAAGTTTCACCACCACGCATGTGGGTGTGCTTCATTGCCACTAAATTTTTAGGATAAGTCTTACGTACGCTTGCCTGACACATCCTACACTGTTGGAGAAACTACCCCAAGGCTACTTTATTTTAAGAAGTTAATTCTGTTTTTGCCAGTTATAGATAGACTTGGTCCAAACTTTATGAATTTGTAGAAGTAATTAATATCTAAGAAAAATGGAAGACTTGCAACTGAACTGAATTTTAATGAACGGCAAAGTACATCCACACACAGATATATATTGGTCAGGAGGACATTTACATTAAGTGAACATAGTATGACACTCTCCTGATTTTAAATGTAAGATTTATTTTGTAATGTGATTTATACTGCAAAATAAGTCTTACGTTTAGAACCAAAAGAGTACATTAATAATGCTGGACAATAAAGCTTGGGGGGTAAGCAAAGGTTAAGGAAATATGAAAAGCATGCATAGAGTGATCAGTGCTAAAAGACGAATCTGAAGCTTGGGAGCTAAATGGATGTAAATGAATAATATGAGGAGTCGTACTATGATTGTATGGTCACGAGAATTCGTACTGATTACGATTCTTGTGTGTCTGTGAATTTGTCCTGAATCTCTTGTGTTCTTCTTTCATACTACTCTTGCTCTTGACAGTTATTTCCACCTTTGGAAACCACTCTTCTTGCCACTTTCTCTTTTACTGCTTAACACAAGGCATTCCCTCATCGCAATAATTTTCATTTTTCTTCATCTTCAGGAAACTACTTTTTCCTGTATGCCCAAATCACTCCAGGTTTTTTCGGTAACGCTCAAATGTAACTCCCCCAGTTTATGTAGAAATTTCAGTGTATTTCCCGGTCTGACTTTGGTTTTTTTCCCAGAAAAAAAAAAGTACATATTATGACTAATTAATTTAAGGGATATAAATATGTTTAGCAGCAAGGTGCAGAAAACAAAGAGTAATCATGTATAAACTGATCATTTGTAGGCTAGCTCTAGAAGATAGCTTTACCCAGAAGAGTGTGCCTTATCACTTTCGAAGGTCTTTATGTTCGATTTGGTCAAAATACACAAATGTTAACTTCCACATCATATCTCTCTCTCTCTGGACCTTTTTATGCTCTGTGATGTGCATTAAGACATTAGTACCCAAAAATCTAGTTTGATGTGCCTCGTTTACTAGCACCATGCGTGAATTTTCAATGAAACTTTCGTTCTTTTCTCGGATAAAGAAAACCAAAAATTGAAGCATGCTCGATGCAGTGACTTAAAATGGACATTATGAGCTCTAATGCTCTATAGTTTCTAAGACTTGCATCACTTTCAAAAGTTATCACTGTAAAAATGTCATTTTCCTTCCTAAAAATTTTGCCTTAGCTGGGACACAAATTTGTAAGCTTATGGAGTGGAAGCACTCAATATGACCCCCACAGGCACATATATAAGAAGAATCCAAAGCATTTTATAAGCATTCTATGAGAGCTAGCAACCAGACAATAAGGGTGAGAGACCAAGATCACTATCATTGGAATTGTACGTATCTGAATTTTCCTAGCCACTGTTTTCTGCTTGGCTAAGCCCTCTTGGAGAGATCTTCTCCGGTTCAGCTTTCACTTTCATACAACATTAATTCTTCTTGTGAAGTCGACATCACATTAATAATTAATGCCCCTCCCTTTTGATCTTTAACAGACATTGATTCGTGAGCATAACAGCTACAGATGCAGATCCCCTGTATATGTGCATCGAAAGTGAGCTTCAGATTCTTTGTATGTCACAAGTTCAAATTCTAGGTTGATGAATCTTCTGGGCATATCACAGGGTAGTGGATCTGCATCAAAAGTCTGCGATAGAGATTCTCAAGGAAAGATAATTCACTTCAGTTATAAAAACAAAAGCATCTTATCCTCGTCAAGTGAAAACCAAGTTTGAAACCCTAGTCAGTAGACAGAAAATAAAATCCCGTAGAGTTGTAAGAAACCCTTTTCAATGGACACAGATAAAAAGCTTATTCTTTTTTTTTTTTTGGTGATAGATAAAAAGCTTATTCACATTGTGATAGAAGAGAAGGTAACTATAGCAAGTGGTTCATCAAATGTGACTATATGCAACAACCACCAGCAGCGTCACATGGTCAGATTTTTTTTTTTTTTTTTACTGCGCAATATCCTGAGCTAGCTACAATAGGTGCAGTATTGTAGACAGCATTTTTGCTTCCTGATTGTAATATATGCATTATCAGAATAAAAAAAGTTAAATAAAACGAAGTTTAAAAGTATTACACTAGGTTGATCTCATGAACTGCAAACTTTGAGTGCTCAAGTATATCAGCCTAATAAGATGACATACAACTCGACATCTATGGTTTTGAGTTCAAAGAAACTTATCGTATTTTTGGGAAATACTACTTATATAAAACATAGCATTGACAGCATTGTTTTTGTTTCGTAGTAGTTTGCAAGAGAATCAGCATATGAAATATCTAAGCTGCCTCCTCACTATTATTTCAATATTGCAGCAAAAGAATACAGATAAGTAAAGGTTGTGAAACTCGATTCATTTGTTTTTCTCTCCGGCTTTGATTGTCATGTGAAGACAGCTTTGATTGTAATATTCTAACAAATTTAACTTCTAAGGTGAAAGTATTGTTGTCTTTGATAAATAAAAGTGAGTCTTGTGTATTCACGTGAAGTTGGGAGAAAATAGTTTCTCCTAACAACAACAACAAGCCTCATGTGAGGTCGGCTACATGAATCGCATGATGCTAATGTGCTCTGTCAACAACCAAGTTCTTAGATATGTTGTTAACTAGAAGGTCCGTTTCAATGATTTCGTTGAGCGTTTTTCTCAGCCTTCCTTTGCGCCTTTTTATAAGACTCAAAATTGTCTGATCTTCCCTTCTCACCGGGGCCTCTAATGGCCTTCTCTGTACATATCCAAACCATCTCAAGTGATATTCAATCATTTTCTCTTTGATTGACGCCACACCTACTCTTGCTCTGATAATTTCATTTCAAACCTTACCTTTTTTCGTATGATCACACATCCATCTCAACATCTTCACTTCTGCTACCTCAACTTTATGCTCTTGTTTTTCCTTTATCGCCTAATATTCACTACCATACAACATAGTTGGTCTTATAGCAATCTGATAAATTTTTTCCTTAAGTTTTTTAGGTACCTTCTTATCGCAAATAACTTTGATAGCCTTCCTTCACTTTAACCAACCGACTTGTGTTATATGCGAAACATCGCTATCAATTTCACCATCCTCATGTATAATAGGTTCTAGATATTTGAACTTTAACACTTGAGGAATGATTTGATCCCCCATCTTTATCTCCAAATCACCATTGCCATGCCTCCTCAAAATTGTAATGCATATATTTTGTCTTGCTCTTGCTCAAGTGAAAACTTTTCGACTCCATGGTCCTTCTCCATAACTCCAATCTAGAGTTAATTTCTTCTTTTGATTCAGCCATAAGAATTATGTCATCTATGAAAAGCATGTACTTAGGGATTTTTTTTTCTTGAATAAACTCAGTTAAAAGTCTAGAACAATATTAAACAGATAAGGACTTGAAGAAGATCCCTGATGTAAGTCAATCTTAATAGGAAAGTCCTTTGTCTCACCTCTAGGCATTCTTACGCTAGTAATTACCCCCTCATACATATATTATATGGCTTTGATATAAGCAACCCGTATACCTTTCTTTTCAAAGCCTTCCAAAGTACTTCTCTTGGCACACAATCATAAGCTTTTTTCAAGTTAATAAAAACCATATATAAATCCCTTTCTTTACTTTTATATTTTTCTATTAACCCTCTTAATAAGTAAATTGCTTGTGTTATGGATTTTCCCCGTATAAATCCAAATTGATTCTTTGAAATAAAAGTCTCCAACCTCAACCTATGTTTAATCACTTTTTCCCACAACCCACAACTTCATCGTATGGCTCGTAAGTTTCATCCCTCTGTAGCTTGCACAGTTTTGAATATCTCCTTATTTTTTTAAATAGGAACTAAAGTGTTTTTCTTCCATTCATCTAGCATATTTTTAGAGCGTAAAATTTCATTAAAAAGCTTGGTCAATCACCTTTCACCTCCTTGCTTAAACATTTTCAAACTTTGATAGGAATACCATCAGATTCAATGGCTTTACTATTATCTATTTTCTTAAGAGCTGTCTTGACCTCTTCAATACGGATCCTGTGGTAAAAAGCCAAATTCTAATCATCTTCATAATTAGCAAGTCCTCCAAGTTCTGAATTGCATATTCGCTTTCCTTATTGAACAACTTGTAAAAGTCAGCCTCCCATCTATTTTTAATATCCCCATCAATAACTAGAACTTTACCCTCTTCATCCTTTATACACCTTACTTGGTTCAAATCTTTTTTTTTTCCCCTCTTTTTTTTACTTCATAATCTTGTAAATATTTCTTTCTCCCGTCTTTGCTCCTAACTCCTTATAAAATTCCTCATATGCTTTAGAACATGCTTCACTCATTGATCTCTTCATCTCTTTTTTAGCCAAACAATACTTTTCCCAATTTTTCTTTTACCCTTTGAACTCTCCTTTTCTTTGATTCTTTCTCTTTTCAAATTGTAAGCAGAATGTTGAGATCACTTGATGAGTTCCAATTTCATCATACTTATGCAGAAGCATCGTTTTACAATTTTCATTTGAAGAAAACTTTGACATATAAGCCATCATTGAAAGAGTCTATTATATGTTCTTAAGATATGGTCAGTCAAATTCGAGTAAAGGGATTAAATTAGATTATGGCAATAATTCTTCTATATGTGAGAACCCACCAGCATGGGTTAACCTGTAGGTCACCATCTAGGGGAACACGTGGCTCAACTTAATTGGACTACCAGGTTGGTCCACCTTGAGCGTTTCATTCCTGATCCTCATAATGGTTAAGCCCCAGTCCCTCACTCTGCATCTCTGACCATTGTTTTTGGAAAGTGGAAGAAAAATGAAGGTGATGGCAAGTCATGCATGCATTCATCCATTTTGCTTCTCATTCACGTTCAATACTCATTTTCCATCGTGATTAGCTGAGATACATTGGTTAATTTTTAGTATTGTTAATTTGTCACAGATCTTCAACTGGGTGCACAGGACGTTCCATCATGGTGCTCTGAAGGGTTTGACTGATATATATACCTTTCTAACTTCTTTCGAACAACTCTGCATATAAGCTTTAATTTGTATTTTAGGTATTTTCCATGAATATTTTGTTTTTACACAGATGGGTTTGATTCCAACGTGAGAAAGGCTGAGCCTGATGTTATCAAATGGGATGATCAAGCTTCACTGAAAGAAGTTGCTCTTGCTGATGTCCATGGTGGTTGGAAAGATGGCTTTCTAACCATTGGCACTTTTGGTTGTTATGGTCCCTTCAAGTGCTCCAACCAACACAAAGATTACTTGGCTTTGGAAAGCGATGAAGATGAAGCAGAGCAACATGATGCTGATGAGGAAGAAAACAAGTACAGTGATTGTGAGCATGAGGAAATGAAACCACTTATTGGCACCAAGTTTGAGAACAACGTTGAAGATGTTGGAAACGAGAAACCTAATCTGGCCAATGCTGCCCAAGGGGGAGCTCTTGTGATTCCGACACCAACTTTGGATTCTGATGATGTCATAGAATGTATCCATGTGGGGACTGATCAGAAGGAGAAGAAGAAAGGTGAAAGAATCACTCTAGCTGACCTTTTCTTGGCTGATTCTGGGAAAATAATAAAACATGACGCTGCAAAAGTCTTGCTGGATGATCAGACAAGTGATGATAAACAAAGCCTTAAAGCCAAACAATACGGACGCCCTGCATTTGCCAAGAAGCTCATAGCTCGCGTCAATAAGGACAATCCACACCCAATTAAAAATATACAGAGAGTAAGTCATCAATTAGCTTCCCATTCTCACAATCTCACTTTGAAATCAACATAGAACTTGCATGAATCGAATTATTCAACTTGATTTCTTTCTTTCTTAATGATTTAGATGATGAAGAAGATGATAAAGAAGAAAATCCATCCTGAGGTTGATGTTAAGAATCAGAAATCAGGAGCCCAGAAACCTAGTGCAAGTGAAATCTGTGACAATCACAAGACTGAAGGTATGGCAGCTGATCCAAATTTTCCCGCGGTGTCCATTATTAGTTTTATATATTTGTTTGCTTTCTGCGAGTGGTTTATATGACAAAGCATGCACAAGTTGTGGAGGGCAAGAGTGCTTCCAATTCTATATATTCTACCACGTCACTGGCTTTCATTCTGGTTTTTTTCCCCCCCCCCCCTGTTTTCTAAGCAAATGACAAATGAACACATTTATAGGGCGTTATTCACTTACTTGTTTCAAGAAGTTTATGATACGTATTTATGCTAGCTAGCAATAACTTGTTACTTGCATGATACAATTTGTATATTCTCAGCATACGGCTTAATGGAAGATAGATTCAAAGTGATCAGTTGATGAAAAGCTTACCCTAATTCGAAGAGGTGTCATTTTCCATGTGGTAGGAGTCATTTATTATCTGTCTGGGGCCCTCCCACAAAAAGTAACTGAACAGTCCAACAAAGAATGCCAAATTGAATAATTATATTGTAGTCAGCCTGCAGATCAGTAAAACTCAATTTAATTACGTGATTCCACTTTATAAAACTATTTGATCAATATGTAATTTTGTCAGCCACATGACTTTCTCTATATATGGATATTTTCATTTGCTTTAACATTGTCATCAGCGATAGGTCATTAGGCCTTTTTGTGTCATTTGATTTTTTAATCAGGTTACTTTATTACAAACTAAACATTTGTGAATTTCAATTTTAAAAATTACTACTAAATTTTTTTGAGCTATTACTAAATTAATCTAAATTGATGTGGATGCCCTTTCTTCTTCTTGCAGGCACTAGCGGTTGATCTCTAATCTGAAGTCTGTTGATTAGCTACAATTGTATTTATATTTTATTTTTGATAATGTAAGGACATATGCTAATCAGGTTAATTTTTGTTGGCGTATTTTATGAACAAAGCATGTGATTGTGTTGTCTGATACCTCTAATTTGTTTGTGTTGAATTTTATTACTTTGACTTAAATAGTGTTTGATGCAATATTTTGGGTAATCATTCATTGAGCACTCATTTTTGTCAGTCGTTCATCACAACCTTTCTCTGTTTTCGGTCAAGTCGTTTCCTGAGGAGATTAATGGTTTTCCTATGTTTTAGTTTTGTCCATTCCAAAGGCTAATATCATAATACTCCACTTACCCTATGACCCCGTAAACTTGATGGGCCTGGCCCAACAAGTCCAAGAGACAATACAGCCCATACGATAGAGAAAATAGGGCAGACCAATGAAGTAGACAAGCCCAATGACCAAAAGATCTTCATAGCCTACAACGCAGATCTCATCTGCCCCACAACACTAGCACAGTAAGAGAGACATGGGGGGGGTTTGAGGACCACGCAGCCCTTTTGTCTTAGATTTTTTTTTTTTGTGAGACAGAAAAAAATATCTGTCAGCCTTGAGAGACTCTGGCAAAATCTGAACTGCTTGAATGGATTTTGACAACCATGTAGTTCATAAAGACAATTAAAGGTCAACCACCACCGGGAACCTAGCTCCGCCCGAGAAAATGCAATGCTGACCAAGTTAGGGCGGTGAAGGCGCTTACTTTTTCGCTGAGTTCTTTTTTATTTTGGAGTAATGCTTTTTTTTTAATTAAACATATATTTTTTATTAGAAACAATTTTGTTTGAGATACTGTCAGCTACTAAAGTGCGGTCTAACAGGAATTTGAATCTTGATTCGTGAATAACTAATTCTATACCTAACTCCCACAGGTGAGTAATGCACGTATGTTTCATCACGCAGAGGGATGTTTTGAAAGTAGGTTTTTGAGAATGAGTTAAAGCACAAGAATCCAAATAACATAAAAAGCCTAGTCCAGTGGAGGTGTTATTATACTGCCGAAGCTTGGTCCCCAAAGAAATGAGCGTTGAAGAGCAGTATATATGGAAATGTGAAAAAGGGGAAGTTTTAATTTGGTCCCCCTCAAGCAGCTATATCCATGGAAAAAGGTGACATCGAAGTCTGGGCATCCTTGGTCCCTCTTCCCTTGCATTTATAAACAGATTGAAGTCAAATTCTAAATCCTGTTTGCCCCACTTACAATGTTTGACCTCCTTACTCTCTATATCTTGTTAATTCAATCCCTGACACACTTTTTGGACCCTTCTTCAACATTCAATCAATTGCATTTATTTCCTCCCATCTTTATATATATATATGTGCGTATATATATTCATGTTGTTTTTCTTATTTTCGTTAAAAAAATAGGGAAAATCCCCATTGAAAAATTATGTCCCTGAAATCATGCCAAGGACTAAGGTTCTTGGGGGAGAAATAGAGAATCATCTGAAATGAACCATAGAATTGGTTTCTTAATTTTCTTATAGTATAGTTTGTACGGAAAATATTTATTTTGATGTTATTGATTTTATGTCGAAAACCCCAACTGTTTATTAAAAAATTACTATTTTATATCATCCAAACACGTTGTGCAAAATACGTGTACATGTCACATGAGTAATTTATATAAATATCTTTTGATCAAAAATAAATATTATTATCTCTTGTTATGCAGAGATAGTCAGCATGATGCATCTTTGAGATGATAACGAAATTTGAAAAAGAAATAAATAAATAAACAAAAGCCGAGCGAAATTCAATTTGAACTCTTTACTGGTATATATTAATAGTCTTGTTCCTTAGATTCGACTTCTTGCTTGGGTTGAACTGGGAAATTTTGAATCTGGCGTATATTACGGTATTACCTATCGATCACTTATATTCAAATCATTTGTTAATACAAATTCCGATCCAATCATTCAATCCTTGCACCTAGTTATTAATTCACAGAAATAATATTAAGTTACGATTGGAACATATGTGGAAAGTGACAATATCTCAAAAGAATCAAACCAATGAAATTTGAAAGAGTTTAATAAATATACCAATCAAATGCATCTTAACCAAATCTTTGATCATATATATGCAATAATGATTTCATCATTATATAATATGTCTGTTGCAAGCATGAATAGTAGTTTCTTTATTAAACTACCATAACTTCTTTTAGTATTATTCACTAGACTTTTCTACATATGAACAGTGCAGGACAAAGAAAATCGTAACACAATCCAGAAGCAAAGACATCGATAGATTTAAATTAACCCGTTTTAATTTCTTTTCAAATCTCCTTTAGGTAATCGTCCATTGATTAAAATGCAGGAGCAATGACTAAGCCAGCTAGTCTTTCTCCGGTCAAAAAAAAAAAAAACAAGTAGTCATTCGATTCAGATACGGCCTCGAAGAACGAAAGGAAGAGGAAGAAAAACATTTTTTGATTATAAAAAAGGAAAATGAAAAGACCAAGCTTGAACCTAACCAAAAAAAAAAACTCTGATCCTTCGTATAAAAGTTAGTTGGAGATTCAATTTGATCCTAAATATAACATCCAAATTTATTTTGTCTCTAGTATTTGTGCATTTTGTTTCTAAACAATCTTTATAGTGATTGCATGTGTTAAAAAGCTTTCATCAAGAGTTAATTCTAGTATGCATGATTAACAAAAGTATTTTAAGACAAAATAATTTAGCTATTTTTCTTAATATTTGCTAATTAGTTATCTACTACCTCCAGTTCTTAATTTAAGATCCAATTAATTAACTTGGAAAGATGAAGAAAGTTGCTAAATTACCTCATTATGTATATATTACATGATCTCTCTAAAATACTTATGTGTATATATATCAATTTATAAATAAAACAATTAGTTTGGAAAAAATTATAAATATAAATATTTTAAAGTAATTTAGTAACTTTTTTAGTGCCCGTTTGAATTAACAGTGAATAATTATGATTTTATGATTGTGATTTTTTTAAATGACATTAATTAAAAGTGATGTTAGTTAATCGTGATTTCTATTTAGATACCTTTTTTATAAGCGATATTAAGAATATGGATTATGTTTGGATTTTATTCATTAAAACCACTTATAAATATATAATTACCAAAAAGCAATAAGCGTATATAAGAGAAAGATACTTTAATATAATTCTTATGATTAATTATTATTATTTAAATATAATTTTAATTTAATAATTATTATTAATAAGAGTATATGGAAGAAATCCTAGTTGTTAAACTTTTATCGTGATTTTCCAATCGCAAAAGTTACTCTTTGTAACTTATGCTCAAACAAGTGATTGGGACTAAAATTATGATTCTTTCGGACTTCAAAAAATTTAGTTAAACAGGATAAGTAGGCTCTATAGTAATTTATTTGAGTTTAAACCAACTTATTTAAACTCGCACTGCTTAACCAAACATGCACTTAATTTTCTTAAATTAATTGATTGGGTATTATATCAAGAATCATAACTTTTATACTACGAACGGGAGGCGGCAGGAGATTAAGACGAGATCCAACATTATATTAGTTTTTTTATGACCGGAAACATTATATTAGTTTGTTGGTGGAGCAAATATTCTAATGATATATGGTACAGTTTGGGTTATAATAAACTAACCTCCCCCTCAAACTCGGGCAAGAAATTTATGGGGGGAAAGGTGATGACGGCAACTGGAATTTCTTTTTTAATATAAAAACTAGTATAATTTTTATTTTGGTTCTAAATATAAAATTTTAATTTATTTTATCTTTTATATTTATATTTTTTAAGATAGTTTTTATAATAATGATAGTTCTAACCAATACACTTGATTAATAAGGATATTTTAGAAAAGACAACACATATTTATTACAAATAACTAACTTAACTGGTTAGTATTCTTAATCTACTCAAATTAGTCAACTTGCTTTTATATTAAGAACCGGAGGTAATATGATTTTGCGACGAAATCATATTTTGACTTGGTCAATCTAATGTTAAGCTAAATAAGCAACAGAAAATTTATCATAGTGCCGTCATTAATCGATTCATTATCGACATAGCTTCTATGTCATAAAAGTCTCTGTTCCGTAACTAGTTGATATTATCATCAGAGGAAATTATAGTTTATTTTTCTGCAGTTTGATTCAAAAGAAGCTGAGTTTTTTCCCTTTGTTTAAAGTGTAGTCAATACTTTGGTGATCTGTTCAATGCTTAATTTAATTTCCCATGGTACTTTAACTCCAACAAAAATAATCATATAAATATCAAGGTAATAAATTATTTTATTTTTAAAGGTCTATTTCAACGATATCCCTCGTGTATTTTGAATTATCACTGCGTTGTCAGCATTAAGTAATTTTAAAATGTCTACTTAATTCTAGTAATAGCATTAAAAGACTATAAAATTCAATGCACAAGTAAAAATATTGATCATGCGAATTCTCGTGAGATTATTGTAATGAAGATTAAGATTAAAATTATTTCATATATGATGGCTAAGTGATCAAGGAAACAATACCAGTTGAATAAGCACTTTATAGCAGATAATTAAATTGCTTTTGCGCCAAATCAATAAGCGATTAGCTATAATTTGTATTATCAAGTATTGCTTGTTACGATCACATATAATTAATTAGCCATATAAAATGTCATCAAGTGATGTGGTTATGTGGTGAAGGGAAAAAATAGTTTGCAAAAGGCTTCGCATTCAATTAATAAAAAAAAAAAAAAAAAAGGCTTCGCATTCAACCCAGGCAAATTAAACTTTTCATTATATAGTATATATGAGAGCGATGTAATCGAACCATTTCTAAAGAAGATAAATATTTTAAATAGAAAGAAAGAATTTATATGTTGAATTGGATTCTCAAAATATTTTAGAGGCAGTTAAGAACAACTCCAGGAGCACGGACAAGCTTAACTCAAGAGATTGAAGTACTTGGGAAGCAAATAAGCGCGTTGGAATATTCTTGCCAATGATAGCATCATTAATCTTAAAATTAGTCATCTTTTGGGTTGGGTCTGATGAAATTTATTCTAGTAGCATATACACCCTTTCCTAAAGAAACTAAAGAAGCAAGGAAGAAAAGAAGCTAGCCTTTGTTATATTGCTACATGATGTTAGGTATTTTAATTA